ACGAGTGTTGCTGTGTTGGGCTGGATCTCTTACGCTAGATAATAGCTAAAACAAAGCAGCAATAGAAGAGATTGCACACCAGTAAAAAGCCTGACCTCCTCCTCTGCCAAGTGGATAGGATGTTAGCACAGACAGCATCCATTGGGATTTAAAGCTTGCCACACTCTGTCTGAAGGGAAGCAAGAAGCATAAACCACACTCACCTCCTCCGTACATCTGACATAAGTATGGAAACCTCCACACGTTTCCCAGCCCCACAGCGTAGGAAATGCAGGCAAAAACAAACTGCAGGGGATTGTCCCATAGCGGCCGGGATTTCTCCATTGCCTGCTTGCAGGCAGAGGTTCCAGCCGAGCCTTCCTGCCTTCACTCCTCCAGGTACTCTGCCAGCCCTGCCTCAGACTCCACGCCAGCCCGGCTTGGAGGGGAGGGAAAGGCGGAGGAGCTCTGCTTGCCAATTCCTATCAAGCTTTTTAATTACTAATCTTATTAACAGGCACATACTGAAGTAGGAATGCTGGTAAATAGATTATAGACACACAGAGGGCTATAAAATTGGTACTTTGGGTGAATAGCTGCTTGGGTTTTGACTGGTGTTTCGGGAAGGATGTGAGCCCAGGGATTTTGATCAACTCACACACCGACTTGACACTGGGAAGCAATAACACTGGGGCTGCAGCCTGCTTGTGGACATGGGACATTGCTCCCCCACAGAGGGGCATTCACATGTGTGAGGCACCAGCCTGGTCTTGATAGCACAGGGAAGGGGTTCCCACACCTTTAGGACTGGACTTCATGGCTGTCAGAGCTGCCTTTCATTCCCGGTGCCCCTTATCCTGAACAGGTCCTTGGGCATCCCATTGCCTGCGCTCTGATGCTCACCCCAACCAGCCCAGCACACTCCCCAGTTCCAAAAGTGGCCATGAGGCAGTTCCTATCATCAGCAGTGCATGTCCCCAGCCTGCTGCAGCCTTGAGAACAACACTCAAGTTTGATCCCTTGGGAATATCACCGTCCCTCTACATGCTCTGTGTGTGTGAGAGTTCATGAAACAGCCCCGTCTCTTTTCACTCACCTTCATGCTCAAACCCCACTAGCTGCAGATGGACTTTTCTGTGGGGTTGCTCTTTTAAAACACTTTCAAGCAGGAAGGACCCAATACATACAAAGGCCGCTGGGAAAAGGTGTCTGTGGCCCGTTGCGGAGACGGAAGGACCTCAGAGGCCTTTGGGTCACCTGAACGCACACTGAGGTGCCAGGTCTAAACATGAACCTTGCGTGCTTGGGTCCTTGCCAAGGTACACTTTGAGCTCAGACACTTCCCACAGGTCTCCCAGTGAAGGAGGCTGCTGGCAGCACCTGTAGGAATAAAAAGGGGCTGAACAAGTCCAAGGACTCAGCTTCTTTCCTCGGTCTAAACGTATTGGTTTAGTCTCAGGCCAGGACCGGGCACCTTTCAGGTGCCAAATAAGACTCACTCAGCTTCTGTCAGCCTCACTCCTCCAGCGCCAGGAACTTGCTCCATGTGTGTTGCTCCAGTATCCCACAGACACTGGCAGAGCTGAGGCATCCGGCTGCAGGTGCAAATCCCTGCTGTGGGGCATTTGGACACAAGCCCAAGCTGCTGAGGATGTCGTGCAGGTTGTTGAGACCAGCAGAACCCCGCTGGGGGACTTGGTGACCACCTGCAATAACAGTCACAACGTGGGATGCCACCTTTCTGCACGCTAGGAGAAGGGACTATGAGAGGTTCATGCATCTCCCATAACTGAATCCATTCTCCATAAGTGAGCAGTGTGTCTTAACACTGCTAGAAATGGATGAAAACATCAGGGTTTGCCAAACCCTTCCAGATCACTGTTGTGAGGGCACTTATGACAACATCCTAACAGTTGTTGTCTTGCCTGCAGAACTGCAACATGCCAGCTAAGGGCTAGCTGGAAATGTCTCATAGGTAACCCCAAATTCTGCTGGAAGGAAAAACCCAAGCTATTTTTAGACCCATGAGCTGTACAACTGAAAGACACCCACTGAAAAGCTACAGATGTGTCAGCTGTCCCACACCAACAAAACTACTGCAAATGATTAAGAACTTAAATGCCCAGCACTGCTTGTGGGATTTATTACAAATGATGCTTATAAATAACCGAGCATTTAGCAACTCGCAGGCAGGACAGCCTTAAAAATAGCACACCACTAGCCCTGGGGATGCTTCTGTGTGTATAGATTACTGCCACTGATGAGCATAATCAAGTTAAACATTTCCTTGGCTCTGTACCTCCTTCCCATTACATTTCAAACTAGGTTACTAATGGACTGGGGAGGCTGTGCAGGCAGAGATGGGTGGTGGCCTCGGCTCGGGTCAGGCCAGATCAGGATGTTCAGGTGCAATGAAATGAATCCTTCCTCTCTCACAAACGTTGGTCTCATAAGCAGCTGGGATCACAAACTGCTATGGGGTGTCAGCTCTGGTGTTCAGAATCTGCCATTCCTGGAAGCACTCGCTTCCAAATGGAAACATGCTGGCTGTTGGCGTATTAGACGATTATCAAAGGGATGTGATGAAGGAGTCTCTGCAGCCTATGCAAATGTTCAGTGATGGTATCAAGGGAAGCAGATTAGAAGCTCCCACATATGTTTTTGCTGTTTGGATTCACTGTTCACAGTTGCTGTTCTAAGCTCCACGTTTCCTTACTTGAGAAGGAAGAAAGAATCCACCTGAATTTCCAGATCTTTGACACCTCACCGGCCACGACAACTGTGGGTGACTGCTCTGTGCAATCAGCAATTACAGTTACTCCTCTAAGCAGTTATTAGGATTGCAATTATTCCTTCCAGCTCATCACTGCTACTTGCTTCTTAGCTCCAAACTGCAGATGATGCCCTTAAGGCATGTACCCTGAAGTCATTTCCAGCCTCTTATCTACCTTAAAACTGATTTGCACTACCTCAGCTCCCCACGAAAGGCATGCCTGAGAAGAGCTCCTCTTATTTCCCTTGCTTTCCTTTAGCACCACACCTGTATCCCCTTTCTGATGGTGTCATTGAGGGTACTCCCTCCATGAAGGTGAACTCAACACAGCTCTGATTCACAGAATCAGGGGTAGGGTTAGGTTAGCCTGTGCAAAAGAAGAGTCACACACTGGCACCACACTAAAATGAAAGAGACACCCGGCCTCTTCAGGCAGCTCTCTCTGTCTTCTGCCCCTTCGCGCCCCGTTAAAGCTTGCCTGCGGTTTGGGGAGGTCTGCGGGCAGCTCTCCTGTTCACCAGCAGCTGTCAGCCGTGAGCTGCCCTGTCAGTCCCGCACCGGTGTCAGCAATCCTGAACACGGACAGAGTCAATTACCAGCTTCCTAAAACTGATAATTAAAAGTAAGGCCTCCAGATACCAAGGCCGCTGAAACAGAACGGTGTGCATCTCCTCACCTTCATCTGCTGAAGAGCTGGCTCCAAACGGGCTGCCTGATGCTTCAGGACACCTCTGCGAGGAGACTCGGATAAGGAGGGATGCTGTAGGGGCAGACAGAGCAGGGCAGGAATCACTAGGACACTGTCAAAGTTAACAGTCACAGGGTAACCCCAATGGGCATATTATCTGCTCAAAGCCATTCAGAAATACTTACAATAACAACGATGACAACAATCCTTACCTGCTCACACACAAACTTCCCTTCAAATGACAGTTATTCTTTTAATACATTTTAAAAGGCACATCCTCCTACACAGATTCAGCTTCTTAAAGCTTGATCCATTCAGCCACCTGACACCCCAAGGTGATTCATGTTTTCTTCCTGAGGCATTAAGAATCCTTTCACGGTGGTCTGACAACATTTGGTATCACACAAAAGCCAAGAGCCATCCTTGATAATATCAGGAAAGGGGAATCAAACTGAGGAATCTTAAGAGCATTCTGGCTGGACTGAAATCTAAGTGCCTGGCAGATGACTGTGGCAAAATACTGCACCTAGCTCAATGAAAAGAGAACTGTTATCTGAAGGGGGCTTATAAGGATGCTGGGGAGGGACTCTTCACTAGGAACTGTAGTGACAGGACAAGGGGTAATGGGTTAAAACTTAAACGGGAAGTTTAGATTGGATATAAGAATGAAGTTCTTTACTGTGAGGGTGGTGAGGCACTGGAATGGGTTGCCCAAGGAAGCTGTGAATGCTCCATCCCTGGCGGTGTTCAAGGCCAGGTTGGACAGAGCCTCAGGTGACATGGTTTAGTGGGAGGTGTCCCTGCCCATGGCAGGGGGGTTGGAACTGGATGATCTAAAGGTCCTTTCCAACCCTAACTATTCTATGATTCTATGAATCTGTATTTTACACATTCATGTTTCCAGCAAGATTCTTCACTGAGCTGCTGCTCCCTTCTGCAGATACTAAAAAGAAAACTACACAAAACATTCCTACAGAAACCAGCTCCTTAAGGATCAAATGTCTGAAAACATAATGTTTTTATTTGGAATAGAATACAACATACATATGAACGGGGACAGATGAACACGTTGAAAGCACTACTAAGAGGCTGCCAAATAAATGCAAGGCAGGAGATTACAAGTAAAAGACTTGGGAGAAGTAAGCTGTTTTCTGGTGAGGTCACATTAAGAAAGGAATGCTCCAAGAATCCCAAGAAAGTTGCTCCATTAGTTGCTCCCATGTGTTTCAGACTATCGCCTTAATGTTAAGAATACTGGCAAAATCAGAACCTGCCTTCTGATGCTCATATTTGTTTCAAATAAATTCAAGTGAAAAAGCCTAGCTTCAGTTAGTGTCTCCATTTGAAAGGGCCCAGTATTTCCACTAGAAAGCATATTTGTCTCGCTATCTAATGAACACGCTCTAGCAAAGTGTTACTGACCATCAGCACGTTCCATTTTTTGCCTCCTCCTTTTTACTTCCACTGTTGGAATTTGCACAGATAATGCCACTTCATGGCTACGTCAACTACAGACAAGTAACTGCAAGAAACCCTAATGCCTCTTTTTTTTTTTCCTCCCCCTTTTTTCTCCTTTTCTTAACAAAAATAAACTTTCTTTGTAGGGAATGATCTCAGTTCTTCAGTAAGCTCCTCTTTGCTATTTCTCAAGGAATGTCAATGGTGAGCAACATGACTAGAGAAACTAATCATGTTATAGAAACCTGTAAATCAAACATTTACAAGGAAGTAAGGTAGGAGTGTGTCATTAAGTATTAATACAAAGTTATTTGAAGCACTAGAAGCAAAAAATATACTATTCAACCCCAAAATCACTGAAAAATAGTATCAGTCTACTTTTTCTTTCTATGGCAGCTTCTGAGAGATCAGATGGTTCAGTCATCTGGCTCGTATCTGAAGATTAAAAAGAAAAACAAAATAAATCATTAAAACAGCAGAAAACACCCAAGCGACGTTTTGTCTCTGAAGAAAGTGTTAAACCCAAGGAATAAACTACTCCCACTAGTGACACATTCCTGTCAAGGCCAAGCATATGACTTAGAGCAGACAACTGTATGGACTCTTTTCTCCTGTTAGAATTGGCCAGTTTACCAAGCAGCACAATGAGGGAATGACCAGGAACCTCCCCACAAATCCCAAACTCGAGAGCGAAATTTAAACAGAAGTTTTAAGTTAAGTTCCACCTCTGTCCTCCTACAGCATAGGCCTAAGTATCCATGCTGCCAAAGTTCACTTAACATTTGCAGAATGCAAGCCTTCTACACGATGTAATGACCAGGCTGCATCTTTCCTTACTCAACAGAGGTTTACCCCTGCAGACTTCTCATTCCTATAAACAAATGTGGAAGAAGTAAGATAATGCCAAAGTATCTGGTACATCTCCCATTTATATCTCTGCGTGTAGCAGCTGGGGGCTTTACAACACCTGTGAGTATTTTGCATCCTCTCCATACTAAATTCTCCCATTCTTTGCTACACTGTAGCTGCTGTTGCACACATCAGTCCTGTTGCAGTCCTAACATGCATTAAAAGGACTGGAGGGCCAAAAATCAGGGAACAGCCTACTAGAAGTGATTTTTAAGGGAAAATTTATAGTCTGTTTTAAAGAGAGCTTCACATTAATAAAAACCAAATGGGAGCAGAACATGGATCTAGAACCAGGATCCTGTTGGGACAGACACAACAGCACCACTTACTTGGAAAGCTTTTTACGTAGATCCTTTATCTGTTCATTCTTCTTAGTGAGAATCTCTTTCATGTTGCGATAGGCAGCTGTTTGCTGAAATTTCTTCTCCAGTTCCTACATAACAACATCAACACATTATTTACATCTTCTGAAACCCAGGCTAACATACTTTCTTAAAAAATGACTTCCTTTTCCTCCTCAAGTTTCAAGCCAGCGGTTTCTCTAATTCAGTCAAATTTAGATGAGGTCAGCTAGCAGATTCAAATGAGATTGCCAGGAAAGACAGAGAAACAGAAACTTTATTTTCTAATTAAATCAGACTAAAAGTCTTCTGAAGACTGGGGCTACACTTTTCATTCCAAAATTGAAAAAAAGCAGAAATTTTTAGGTACCCCTTTAAGAACAGGGTGCCCAGAGAAGCTGTGGCTGCCCCATCCCTGGCAGTGTTCAAGGCCAGGTTGGACAGGGCTTGGAGCAACCTGCTCTAGTGGAAGGTGTCCCTGCCCATGGCAGGGGGTTAGAACTAGATGATCTTCAGGTCCCTTCCAAAATAAACCATTCTATGATTCATCTAGTTGTAATAACGCAGTTAGTTGTGGTTTTGTTATTTTATAATGCGGTTTTCCACTGAAATAACAAAAATACACAGGCACAAGTGTGACTCGGTGAACTCTGCATCCTGTAGCCTTTGCTTGTTAAACTACTAATTACTTAAAATGTGAGTAAGGATCTCATCTTTACAACATGCTAACCTTTTCAGCTGTGGATAGCTGATCCCGAACCTTCAGCAAGTCATGCTTCGTTGTCACCAAGTCCTCTTCCAAGAACTTTTGGTTTGCAGTAGAGTCACTCAAAGTCTTCTCAAACTGGCATTTCAAAGCTGCCACTTTATTCTCCAGCTCAGCGATATCCTGGTTTGCATTAGTCTTCAGCAAAAGAAATATTTCAAATGGGTCAAATGCCAGAGAAGAAATAAAATGTCAAAATGTTATGTTTTTATAAAAATTAAATCATAAAACATAAATATTTTATTTCAAAATAAAATGTCAAGTGCAAAATCCCACATGAAGTGGGTATGTATTCATTTTTAGTAATTATGTTCAAGTTACTCCTGTAAAGCTTAAATTCAAAGTGCTTTAACTAAAATACAGAAAAGTAGTTAAAGCACTTACTAATTTAGAACTTTAAAAAATTGTTAACCAATGCACTTTAGAGATGGCTGGAATGTTTTCTCTGCCAAGCTGAGATTTCAAGTTCTTGTACGTCACTTCTTTAGGAATTAGGTGAAGCCACAGGATGAAACATATAATGAGAAATTACTTAGTAAAGTACCACAGGCATTTCAAAAGCCATCGGTGTAGTACAGGTAGGAAAGGATGAAAGTGTTAAGGCTTGTACTATCATCAACCAGGTACTAATACTGCACTGTTCTCACATGCATTATAAAAAGAGCATCCACTGTTGCTTGTCAAACAACCTTCCCGTTTCCTTGTGAGAAGAAACAATCCACACTCTTCTGGCCATCAGTTCTGGGTCATAAAACATTATATTCATGTAACTGTTCTATGGATTTGCATTAAAGAACAAAGAACAAAACCCCTCTCAGGTTCAAAAGCTCAGCTTCAAACTCCCAAGCATGTCATGACTCAGGATGAGGCTGAACCAGCAGCGCCTTAAAAAGAACAAAACAACTAAAACGAAGAAAGGTCTGCTCCTTCTGTGTGGAGGATAAGATTTGAGCATAGGAAACCAGTTGATAATAGTACCTCTACAGAAGAAAAGCTTACTTTGCTTAATAGCTAGTTTCAACAATATATTTACATATGCCTGTAAATAGAAAATGTAAGAGCTGAAGAAGCAGCAAATTAGGACATGAAAGCTAATGATACTCAGCAGCCCTGACACTGAGGCCAATTACTGTTTAACCACAAAGTAGGATGAGATTCTTTTCTTTTAAAACTACACTCACTACTGGCCAGGATTTAATAAACCCCTTTGATATTTTAAACCTGTAATAATTTACAGCTTAACAAAACAAATATTTTCCATGACTTCTAAATCAAGTTTCCCAATAAATAATATTATTGACTACAGATTTTGAAAGTGACTAGATAAAATTACAACATATTAAGGAAGCCAAGTACATACCATAAACCAGTTAGAAAGCAAAATGAAAAGAAATCAGGATTAAAATACGAAAACTGAAGTGGAAATGTTCTATGATCTTTAACTTCACTTCCAAATCTGGAAATACTGTGGGAAGGCCAAAAAGTCAGTTTCTCAAAATGATGGGATTAAAATGTTCTAATTTTGTTAAAAGTTTGAACGTAAATGCTTTAAATTTCAGGAAAAAAATCACACATGGATAAACTTCTAATTAGAGAATTCTAATTATTGACGAAATAAAGGTACAAACTTAAACCAGTGTTGTGTGTCCTGAACAGATTTATCCGTGTCAACCTGCAGTCTTCTAGCTTATGTTTTGGGCTTTTTCCCATTCACCACGTTTGAATCCTCACTTACAAGAAACAATAACCTCAAGTAGTACAAATAAAGGTGGAGCCATTTTGACTGTATGCTGATAGGGGCAGAACTATGTAAAATCAAGCATTTGCCATCTGACTCATTTGCAGCAAAGCTTTAGTTGATGCTTAAGAATACAGGACACTGGATACTTCCATATAAGTATTTAGGTTTTTAAAGTCTGAAGTGAGAGCCACAAGTCTGTCTTGTCCACGTCAATATCAAGTGTAACAAGTGCTTGAAAGAATTAGTGTTTTATTATTGCTATAAAACCCAGGTTAGATATGATTCTTTCATTAGTAAAATGGGAAGAAACAAACAGAAATACATTTTATCTGGTAATACAAATATCACCCCTGAGAATATGAGCTCTGCAATGCTACTTCCTGATAGTAACTGGAACAATGCTTTCTGATAATAATTTATCATGGTCTGTGGGACACAAGAAAAGAAACACATGATACAGACCGACTTCTTAGATGTACAGGCAACAGTTGTGTTAAACAGGGGTGGTAGTGGGTGAAATCTTAATTATACTTACCTTTTGATCGCCTTGGATCATCTGTAAATCCTTCAGTAACTTCTCTATCTTGGCCTTCTCATCGAGTGCAGCTGTAGCCTGTGATACATAGAAAATGTAAAACCTCAGAAACATATTTTAATTGAAAACATAAGAATAATAATCATGGGATTCTCATTTAGATAATTCTGAGTATGGAAACTGCAGTAAGTATCCAACTTACCTGTGTTTCTACGGTCTTGAGTCTGGTCTTCAATTTTTCATTTTCTTCTTGGAGAGAAGCAACTGTCTTTGGGTTAATGAATGAAAAGAAGGTTGTGAATACTCATGCCATTTTGAATTTTCCAAATACTGCAGGTAAGAAAACACACTTCATAGCTTAGGAAAGCTCCAAAATGCTTATCAAAACAGCCTTCATCAGAAATCAGCAATCTGTTTATTTATTAGGTTTTTTGCCTCAATCAGCAAAAATGGAAGTGTCCAATTGCACTGTAATATGTAGGGCTGCTTACTGAAACTTGTCCTATGCTTTACTGAACTGAGATTTGGAAGTTTAGCATCTTGTTAGTATCAAGACTAAATAAAGAAAATTGCATGTTCAGAGAGCCAAGTCTCATTGCTGCTCATCATTTATGCTTTCAATCAACAAGCAAGTACAAATTCATTTAGTTCCTGTTGAAAAGAGGCAAATACTGTGTTACTGCATCTCACAGAACCACAGAATCAACTAGGTTGGAAAAAACCTTTAAGATCTTCAAGTCCAACCATTACCCCAGAACTGCCAAGACCACCACTAAAGCATATCAGTCACTGAGGACCTCATCTACGTAGTTTTTGAACATGTTCTGTGTCATAGGAAATAACCACGTTTTATCAGTCCGAGTGAAGTCACCATATAACTTTGAATTATTTTTAAGGGAAAACAAAGCCATCAGATGCACAAATTCAACATAAACTGTTCTGAAACAGACTTTGAAATTATTTTTGAAAGGGAACTACATTGATCTAGAACTAAAATACAAATCTGAATTCTTGACCACTTTATTTATGTTAAGGGATCGTTCTGGTAATGCAGGCTGGAAGACAGAAAACACAACTCCTTGCTAGATATCTTGTCTGCTCATAAATTAGAAGTGTATTGGAAGAAGCGTGGCATTTGAAGGAAGTTCAGTTGAACCAAGCAAGTTCAATACCTAATAAAAACTATTGATAACACTAAATAGTAGAATGTGCTTTGGAATTATGAAAATCTTTAGCAAGTGGGAAATGAGATGTTTTCAAAACTAGTCAATTCCAAATTCTTCAAATGCTTGTTTCTTTGGGAGGAATTTAACCAGCTCACAAAAGGAAAAAGACTGAATGTAATAAGATTGACTTACAGTGATACAGAATGTTTGATAACCTGATTATTTCAGCCAGCTACATATCCTAATTTACTTCAGCCAGCTGAACAGAACAAACTGAACACTGGTTTCTACTAATTTACCTGATTAAATGGAAATCCAAATAACTTCAAAGGCCAAAATGTCTTTTCAAAAGGAAGGTCAATATTGCAATACGTGTTAGAGACCATAACCACACAATAAATTTAAGATGCTTTATAATATTTATTAATTTATTAGATTTTAATTTATATTCTGGGGTATACTGCCTTGACAACTATACAGCAACAGGCATGTTATAAGGATATTGCTGTACAGCTACCCAGTTCAGCTGAATAAGCAGAATGGTCATTGATCACAACTGCACAAACAGACAAGTTCTTACCCTGTTTAGCAGCTCTGTCCCACCTTCATTTAATGGAGCCAGTTTTGGTCTAATGAGGTCTGTGCTGGGCTAAAGAAATAATAAAGGTTAAAGATGTAAATTATATAGATTTCTAAGAGGAAGAAAGGTATGTCTGTAACCTGTAAAACAACTACTGACAGTCAGTTTGGCTTTCTTTTGTAAATAACTTTTTCTTAGTTCATTTTTTACCAGTATCTTGGCTCCAAAGTTATATTCTGCACTTGCAGCTAAAGCTAAATGAAAACAATGCACAGAGACATAAAAGGGTTGCAAACTTGAATTTACAAAAGACTACCGATGCTACAGCAATTAAAAGAAAAAGGAGTAAGGAAAACAGAGAAAATATTTGAGCAATTATAAAAGCTCCAAATAGTGTTTTAAGTGTTCAAATATAATATATATTAACTAAATATACCTTTACACTACAAACCAAGTAAGGTGCAACCATAATCATGCAAGATAAGTTAGAGTCACAGCTCTACTGAGGAATCTTCTCAGCTCTTGATTCCATGCTGGGACAAGTGAATGTCCTAGTTCCAAGGGAATGAGATGCTCCAACACATCCCTAGTCTGGCTGATTTTGGGATGAGGATCATGAGGCATGCCCTGGATGTGCAGAACCCACAATCTGGAAGCAGCCAAGGCAATTCAGTGTGAGCATTGGTGCCGAACTGCAAAATGCCACTTTTTGGAGACTTTCAAAGATTGTTTTGAAAAAGGAGGTTTTATTTGTGTTTAGCTTTTTCTCTCTAAAGCACAAGGAGCCAGTACTAAGCATTTTCAACACCTGCCATGACTCCACATGACATGATTATGATTTAATTAAAATAAAAGTCTACCTTCTTGTTCGAAGATATAAATTCTGACTTTTCAAACTCAGCAACCTGCTCCAACAATTCTCTTGAAAAGAAAAAGAAGGAAGGCAATTATTTACTAGAAGAACTATGTTATGAAACACATTTTACTAAGCTGATGCTATGCTCTTTATTGCATGTAAGATTCTCATTACAAGTACAGAATGAAGACCTATGCACATGCAATAAGTGCAATAGATCATGTCATGAAATGGCATGGTATATGCATTAGAATTATATGATTTAGCACCCTTGATTAAAATATAATCTACTCAAAAAACAAAAGGGTTTTAATCAAATCCTATCACTTGCTCTTTAACTGATTAATTCAAGTAAAAGCATTACCAGTAAAAACATCTTCCCAACAAATGTGAAATTATTGTGTATCTTGATACTACATAGATGGAAGACTTATCATCGATACAATGTAAAAGAATAGGTTTCTATGGTTAGGAAAAGAATGTGAATAATCAACACTTTGGAGTTTTCTTATCACTGAAAGGCATTCTGTACAGCCTAATGTATGTTACCGATTCTCCAGTTCAGAGACGTCTGTCTGTAACTTCAGGTACCATTTCTCAGCCTGCGAAAAGATCTGCCGCAGAACTAACACATTGGTGTAAGTTGTGTTTATGAGCTCTGACTCCACTTCACTGTGTACAACAGTCTGCAGTCCGTCCAGCATGTCTGTCACCTCATCGACTGTGAAGGTCTCCTCAACCAGTCTAAACAGAGCAGTCAAGATGAGTCATGTATGATAAAGGTTAACAGTTTTGCATTGTTATGAGACCTCACTATACAGATATCAACCTTATCTATTGCAATGTCCTTCTGAAAATATCCACTATGACTAGTTATATAATGACCATGGAACTACTGACTGGCTGTTGTACTTAAATTTTCTCTTGGAAACATTACAATCATGAATATGACATTACATCTTGCTTCTGATGTCTAAAGATGATGCAAGTCTGCAGAAGTATTAAGAGAACAGAATCATAGAAATCTGTATTACTTCTGCTGCAGGCTTGCATCAACTTTAGACATGAGAAGCAAAATGGAAAGCAATGACATGCTGACAATATCTACATTAATTCCTAAGACTCTGAACAAGTCCTTTTGAAGCTGATTTGTAACATTTGGAATATTATTGGATCTTTCTTCCTCACTAAGAACATCATACAAATGTAAGCAGAGAAAATTCACCCCATTAAGCATTTAAGCCTGCACCTGCTGCTAGCACATTTTGCCTTATTCTTCAGAAGTAACCCCCCACGGTACCTGCTGTCCTTAAGGTTCTGAAAACAAGAATCCACTGTCTTGAGACACAGGCTGCGCTTGAAACGAGCAAAGCGCATGTAGTTGATGACTTCATTCTGGTGGTGCTCATTAAGGCCTAGCTCTGCCTGTGGACAAGGATATAAGCACAAAGATGAATATACAGTAAGTAAAAAGGAGCAGAAGCATTGTGGAGACTTGCCTTCTGACTAGTCTTTGTGCACATTAACTAGTATGGTAAAAAACAACCACATTTTCATACTTGTAATCTTTATATATACCTCACATACGTGCTCCCCCTTTAAAAGCACCAGTACCCTCAGGAAAGTCATACAAAATCAGAGAGAGACACAATCAGGGGATCATAACCAGAAGGACTGTAGTGGAGGGAAAGCTCTTAGATAAATTTGTCTTTGTATTACATGTATGAATATATAATGTAGCTAAATGATGTATCATTTATAGATGTACTAATAAAAACATGCAGGAAAGTATATTATGCTTCCTTGTCAGTTTGAGGCTTCCCATACAACCTTAAGTGATAAGTTGAATTTGTTTCTGAATAGCCTACTGCCCAGAAAAAACCCATCCCCAGGTCAAATTAAGGCAGAAGTGGTTTTACACGTGGCTAACTGGCCTTTCTATGCACGACTTTAGTTCAAAAGAGGGAGTATCGGCATGGCCAATTCTATTAGAATAAACCTCACTCGTGCAAGCAGCACAACAGGGCACGAATGTGAGTTTATGACTGGAGGCAACCAAAGGTGAAGTCCATTGTATTGACTATAGTATTATTAGTTAGTACTGTTGGTGTTGCATGCATTAACTCAGGCAGTTAACTTGTGCACCTTGTCCTTGTTAATACAACTGCACAGGGTCGCTCCAGTGCAAATGCAATACTGGAAGGACACCGCTGAAAACCTGAGTACTGATCTCGACTGCCTGGAAATTAAAGGCAGTGTAGGAAGCATCAACGGCAGTAGATAAAACAAGCTCTCACAACGTGGTTTCAAGTCTGATGACTCCCCACAGTGTTCTGCATCGTGCAAACGTGAAATCACGTGAAAAGCTCAACTAATGTTTCCTTTGCTGTTGCTGGGTGTTCTGCAGATAAACGGTTTCTGCTCGTTGCAGATGGAAAGGAAGACATGCCAGCACCAGTGCTGAAACCTCACAATATAGAAAGCAGCCCCAAAAAGAAATTAAGCTCATAAACAAATACATAAACGCAGGCCAGAGGCACTCGTGATCTCCAAGCTGGGGCGCCACATCCTACCAGCTCCACTGCTCTCCGCAGGGCCCAACAGGGGTCACGGCGGAGGCGGCAGCAGCCCTCTAAGATGGGCTCCCGCACGACGACAGGCCGCCTCCCTGCCCACGGCAACGCGGAGCGGCTCCCCCCGGCTGCAGCACTGCGGTACCCCGACCGACAGAACCCGGAGCCTCCGGTACTCACCATGGCGGCCCCTCCACCGGCGCCCAGGCCGCGGCCTACGGGCTGACGGTTGCCATGGAGAACGAAGGCGCGCGAGCGCCCGAGCTGCGCTCCGATTGGCGGCGGCTCGCTCACGTGACTCGCCCCTCCAGCTCAGCGGACGGTAACCAGGGCAACCGCCGTTGCGCCCCGACGGCTCCCGCTGCGCCCGGTCCCATAACCTCACACTGACCTGAACCTATAACCCAAGCCATAAACCTGACTTTAACCCATAACCCAACCCATAACCCGGAATCCTAACGACTTAAACCCAAACCCTCACCCTAACACTAACCCTAACCCCTTAACCCTTACCCCTTACATTAACCCTAACCCCTAATCATAACCCTAACAGCTTAAACACAAACTTTCACCCTAAACCTAACCTAACCTTTACCATAACCCCCTAACATTAACCCTAGCCCTATTGGCTAAACCTAAACCCCACCTAACCTTAACATTAACCCTACCCCTAATTGTAACCCTAATGGCTTAACCCAACATAACCCTAACCTTTACCCTGCCTCCCCCAACCCCTAACCCTTACCCCAACATTAACCCTAACCCCTAAACCTAATCTAACCAACCTAATCTAGCAGAGGGTTATATAGAGAAAGAACATTGAGTGCTAACGGAGCTGTGAGTGAGCTGGGAGGGGAATTTGAGGCTGAATACACGTTCTCATGTGTTAGGGATGAGAAGTCTGTGTTAGCAATAGGTAAAGTCTAATCCCCCCAAAGCCCCAGCAAACCCCCAAAGACAGCAATCCCCTATTTTCCTTCTTGATGTTGCAACTACTACTAGGTGTTTGCAGTGACAGACTGGGAGACAGGCACAATATATCCAGAGATTTTGGTGCCAAACTAGTAAAGTGCCTACTGAGCATATCCAAAAGGATTCGTCAGGGCTAAACCCATGACATCTCATTGTCAATCAGTTCTTTAAGGAACAATGAGTAAGCAACTCTTACCTCATAGAATCAGGCCATCTTATCTCCTAAAGGCTCTCATCTTCAAGGCATGTCAGCACTAAGAATTTCTCTATTGAATCTCTACTAAACAGATGTATTTTTAACAGTCGGTAAAAGAAACCCCAAACTTTCCCAACCCTGGTTTGAAATAGTTGAACCCCAAAGCCATTAAAAAACCTCCAAACTGAACAATAAAAAGCCCAAAACCAAAATCACCAAAGGAAACCAAAGACCCCACCTGTAGCAGCCTCTGAGTGCCTAATCCAGAACTGAATCCTTACCAAGAGCCAAGCACAGTCATCTATGAATGCCTGCTTATGGCCCTGCACCACGGACCTCAAGTGCCTTTTAGTGTGTTACAAGAAAAACAAAGAGCCATTTGGATTGCACCAGAGGTATCCAACTACAGTTTTCTCCCCAGTGGTCTGAGAATGCCTTTTCACGTACTTGATACATGTGTCTTTCATTGTACCCAAAGGCCTTGGAGGACTTTGGTGTGCTCCCAGGGTACCTATGAGTGCTTCTACGTAAACCTAAGCCTACCCTGAAGATTAAACCTACACCCAGTGCCTTCTGGAGTTCAGCATTGCCTTGTAGCGTGTCCCAGCAGTGTTTATGAACCATCTGAAGTTCAACAGGCCACCTGATTATCTTTCTGTGTTCCTTCTGTTGATGTGCATCAAACTGCAGGGGCTGGCAATGGGCTGCTTTCAGCTTTTGCTGTTTATAACTTTGCTTTGCCCAGGAGAGCTAGGATAAAAGCACTGGCCTTGAGCCTACCCAGGTATTTGGGCCCTGCATCCCTGCTATCCCAGTCTGAGCAACAGAGGTGTCGACTGTACTATAAAAGAATAGTTTACATATGCTTCAATAAAACCACTCTTTTTAGAATAGAAACATCTTCCAATATTCAAAATAAACCCCACTTTAGGTTTTAAGCAACATTCAGAAAACTTAACAGTGTCCAAAAAGAAGCAGAATTCTGACAGAAGCAATCAAGTTTCTGTTGAGCACTAACACAGCATTGTTCAACGACTCCAACTGAAGCACGCTTATGGGCTCAATGGGTTCAGAAAAGCAGATTTTATTTTCAACAGCAGCACATACATAGAACATTTTCAAAATATACATATTTCAAAACAAGAGACTGCACTTCATTAACCAACTTGCTGTGGCTTATCAACTGTTACAATCATGACTGCAGCCAGGCAGAGTTACTGTTCCACAGCCTTCCTACGAGTTGGATGCTTTTCGGCTCCACTGGTATAGTTATGCAATACACTATAACCGCTAGTAGCTCATGAAGAAACCCCACACAACTTGCCAATTTACTATTACTGCCACTGGGAGGCTTCAGCTACCAAAGTACTTTAAAAAGGGAAATGTTATTTAAAACAAGTGTGGCAAATAATGAACTTCAGGGAAAACACTCTATGCACATAATATACGTGTTTGAGTGGTTGTATATATTTCTGCCTGAAGTTTCCTGGGCCAGGACTAGTCCCAACAGAAGCAACATAGCAGCATTTTGGTAAGGGAGGAAGCTAACTTTTCCTAAAGTCTTTCCCTTTTGTTTCGATGCAGAACAAAGATTAAACCAATCAAAAACGGCTTGCATTTCTAGATGTTTAAACACAGCATTGCATTAATTTTTCCTGTGTTTCACCACAGTTTAACAAGTGTCAGAATATGCTACATGTGAATATTCTAACCCAGCCACCGTTTCTCATTCACTACACAAATATTTTCTACATAAGCCTATCTTCTTAAAATATAATTTAAATACAACCTTTTAACAGAAAAAAAAAAAAACACCAGAACACACCATCAGAAGATTCAGCTTGCAGGTAATTTTCAATGCACTAGAACTCTTAATGAAGCTGCTCCAACTGTGGCAAAGATCTTTGTTTTCTCATTTGGGAGGTGTATTTGACCAAAATGAGCAAACAGGTTAAGAATAAATGGTGATCACTTCACGTCCACTGCCTCGGACCAGGAGAACTCTGTCCAGACCTTCTGTCAGAACTTCTAAAAACTCCATGTCTGGAATATCATTAAGTCAAGGAATTTATCCAGGAAAGAAACAAAAAAGCCACCAATACCTTTAAAAGTCAGATATATAATGCAAAAATCAAGTTCAACAATTTCCTCAAGGAGTTTTCTTGTGTCACCCTTTATACTGTCCCATAACATAATCCACCTGCTCGCTCAAGTGGAAATGAGGCTTAATTTGAGTGAAAACTACTCACCTACACAAAAGATGAAAAGAGATTTTAAATTCAGTTCAATATTTAGGAATGCTTCACATTGACTCAATCCCCCCCCTCCCCAATCATCAACACTTCTTAAAACTGTGGAATCAGAAGTTGTCTTCTTAAAGGCAAGCTTATGCTCACCACGGTTACCAGTGGTTATCCTAACCAACAGACAATGGCACAGTCATAAAGATCAAATTCCAAATGTCAAGAAATATGGAAGCAGAGAAGCAGAGGATACAGTTTTCATCTCCTTTTCTGTTTTTGGGAGGTCCAGGCATATTCAGGAGGACTAGCTGAGCATGCTGCGATTTATTAAGCACTACTCCATTGAGCTTCACAGCGGTGTGCATTCTTCTCACATTGGACTGATTCCTAGCGTGCAGACAAACATTTTTAAGTATTGCCACAATATGTATTTGAATTATATGTTATGTATTTGAATTTATAAGTTTCAT